GTATTTAGATATGACCTTCCTTGCGATCACTTCCAAATTTGCTTTTCGTATTCCAGGTCTCATTCCACCCCTGCCAGCTGCTGAAAACAACCTGAACACTTCACTCATACCTGAAAAAAGTCACTGTCTGAATCTGCTGCCAAAAGGAGATGAAGGCAACACACCTTCCACCCCAGAAGGCAGGTAGGTGTAAAAATCAGAGATGACACCAGTGTAGACAATGCAGTAGTTTGCTGGGAACTGAAGCAAATGAGCTAAGATTTCCTGACTTGGGGACTGAAAGGGAAAGGAACACAGACTAGACACGAGTCATGGGCTACAAAACGAAACTTTCACACTGAAACACTTTTTTTTTTAATGCCATTTTTTGGTTTTGCTCTGTTATAAAAATGTCAACCAGTGGCTCTGCCTCTCTGAAACACAGAACAGTTACCCATGCTACCTCCTTCCCACCTCTAACATTGTTTCTGTGCAAGTTATATCGAAGGAAGCAAAGGCCTTTTCCTTTGTTAGTGAGAAAGAAAGAAGAGGAAACAAAAACTGTGTTCTACTCAATGGCAAAATTAAACAGAAGGCAGCCTGCAAAAAGCACTGAGTGTTCCCACACAGCCTCTACCTACCAAATTTATCCTCGCTCAGACCTTCAATAAAGCATAATTGAGGGATTTAATGCACGCTCCCTTCTATAGAGCTGCAACCAACAAAAAAATTCAAAGATAACAAGTTAAGTGCATCAGACGTATAACATTTCTAGCTTAATATTACTATGGTGCACAACTGAAATGTCAGAAATTGTGATCTTCACCTATCAGAGTGCAAACTCTCCAGAAAACACTGTGACCTTGTGGTGCCTTTCTTAAAGGGTAAAACGCAGAGTAAAAACATTCAGATACTTAAGCTACTAGCCTTTTTTTTAAACGTTCTTTTGTACTTCTGTACAGTAGAGCTCTTTTCAGATAAGGATTTCATTGCTAATGTGTTCCAACAATCAAGTAGGATAAACAGAAAAGCTTCCTCTTAAACAATTGAACATTTATACTTTGTTTTTCTTCAGAAAGGGCAGTGCTACTCTTCTAGATGGACTGCTGACAAATTGAAACCCTCTTCCTTGTAGGTCATGACTTATGATTAACAGAAAACACACTTCCAAGTTCCTTGCTCTTTGTCAAACTACTAGGATTGATTTATTTATGTAACATTTATAGCCAATAACATTTAGTTGGTCTAATAAAAGAAGATAATCACATCTACCCAAACAACCTTGTCTGCCTACGTCCTTAGGCCAACACAGCTACAACCAACAATCCTAGGATTTATTCATGTACTCAGCTGAGTTCTCTCTTCTCTACCTTACCAGCTCCTAAGCCACCAATCTTCTCCACCACTCCACCACCACCTCCCTCACTTACTTACCACCGCATAGAAAGGTAAAACAGAAAAACAATGTGGAACAAAAATATTATCCACCTGGTCTCCTTGATCTCCCTATGTAAATATGGCATCTTCTTATTTCAACAGATCTACTTCTGATATAAATTCAAAGTTGGAACAAGTGATTTCAGGAAAATTCAAGTAACTTTACTTGATCTTGACTCCCGTGTCGTTTCCTTTGGGCCAGCAAACAACAGGGAGCCAAATGGAATACACACAATTTTATTTTATTTATTTATTTTTTTAAGGTTCCAAAGGCTGCATATGTAGACCAGCACGGCCATGCAACACATGGCACCGCAAACATGTCTGCGGCGCCACATACCACACATTTAGATGTTCTCCGCACTGCAAGAGTGTGCTGCCCATGCATGCACTGCTCGGCTTTTTTTCCTGCGAGTTTTTTTGACCCCCAGGGGTCAAAAAAACCTGCAAAAGGTGAGGGGGAGAAGTGGAGCAGCGCGCACACAGGCAGCTCGCCACTCAAAAGCAGAGTCGGGTCGCCCGAAGCCACGCTACCAGCCAGGCTCCGCACGACAGAATCGCCACTGCTGCAGCCCCAGGAGGCCTGCCCAGGCCCCCAGGTAAGGCTGCTGGGGGAGAGCCAAGTGTTGGCCCCAGCCTCCCCTACCCCACCCAGGGTAACTTGCCATGCACCAAAGCACATGTAGCATGGGTGTTCCCCAGGACCAAGTAACAGCAGCACAAGGTGCACCACCACTACTTGTCCCCAGGGAACCAAATGTCCATGCTCGTCTGGATGCATCCAAACTGTTCAAAGCTTCTGAATCACTTAGGGCACAGGTTTCACAAAGGCATGATTTGACCTTCAGAACCATTTTTACCACGGGTAATTTGTAAGGAACAAACCTATCTTGAGCCTGTTCCAGACTGAGTTGTTCTATCCTGGCACTTGAGGGGGTTCTCTGTTTTTTCCTTTTTTCATTGCGGTTTTGGGGGTTTTTTTAATCCACCTCAGTACCTACAAAAAGGTCACCGAGATAACAGGGTCTCATCATGCCTTTTTAAAGGCATTTTCTGGAACAAAATTTTAATGCAACACGCTTAAATTTTACATTGGCGGTATTTGTTGAGCTTGGTGGATCACTCAAAGTGGTTGCACCAAAACAGAGGCCCGCAGCCTCCAAGTTTGTTAGTTTTTCTAAGCTTCTTTTAGAGTCACTCTCAAGCTCTGGTATTGTCCCTTGAAATCCTGAGTTAAGTTGAAGTAAGCTTTAGGAACTGCTCCTCCCAGTGATCAGTCTCTATAATTAAGCCCTAGCAATATGGCTGGGCTCTGCTTTCATGAAGTTACAGGATGGACTCAAAGCTTACAGTGCAATTATGGTTATTTGAGTAAACCATGAGCTTGTTTACTCTATTTTTAAGAAGTGCAAAGAGACCAAGTTTAGCAGTTCATTTTTGTCTGTACCTGCTATCAAAAGAGAGATAAACCCTGCCATAACAGATAAGAACACTCTCACGAGAAGATAAGTATAATTTCACTTAGCAGCACATTAATTTTCTCTCACCAACTATTTAAAACTTCAGATAATGTGAACATTGACTTATTTACAGAAGAAAATACTTAAACTAATTATCTTTAGTGAAAGAAAGCTCACAGGAGCAAAACAGACCAGTTCAATGGTAAATGAGGTTTCTATCTGTAGCCCCAACTCTGCAAGCACTTAAGACCCAAGCATAATCCCATTTAAACAAGCAGTCCCACTGAAGTCATGGAGAGACCACTCATGTAAGTTCAGTTCAGTTCAGCACATCCAGTGCTTGCAAGATAGAGGCCAATGTTAAACCCAGATACTTCCTTCCAAAAGCCCTGGCTTTTACTGTGAGCTTCAGGGAGCTGGAGAAGTAGAGATTTCTCTTTCTCACATCAGTTACCCAAAGCTGACCGACCAGACATTCTAGGACTTCAAAAGGTTTCATTTTCTCTCTCCATGTCAGTGAAATGCGTCCCACACAAAGCATCCCATTCGCCAGGCAGACAGAAGGATCCCAAGCTATCAGGAGCTTGTTTGAGCAATATGTTAGAGAGAATTATGGAAAGGGAAAATGTTTCCATGGCACTCTGAATTTCAGCTTCTGGGGTTTAGAAAAAGAAACTACACACCCCTCTCAATGTTTTTGTGAGCTCCTCAGCAGTAACTGTGCATAGTCAAGGTCCACCTTCATGAGATTGTAAACTTACTAAGAAAACGTCTATTTTACTAGATTATTTTAACAACATTAATACAGAAACTTACATATTTGCATTAAAAATCAAAGGATCATGAGTCTAGCCAGCACAGTATAGAATATGCTTCAGTGGCTGCTGCTGAAGGTTTTCAATCAATGAATCAGTAGAGGAACCTGCAGCAAATGTCACATTTGGAATACCACAGGGACTACACAGCCTGTTGTTCTGTTATTTCTGCCTGTGGATCATTTATTCCTGTCAATACACAATTTACGTTCATTCTCTCTTCCACACAAGGGCAAGGGAAGATTCAACTTTGGTTCAATTGTTTAGTTATATACTACAAAGTAAAAATCATTGAAGACAAGAGAGTGCTATTATTATTTGATAGTATCAGCAACCTAAGGTTGAACCACTAGGCAAAAGAAAAAGGATTTTGCATAGGGAGGAAAATTATTTTCTTTAATATAGTTTTAAAAAAGGGAGGTTTGAGCCTTAAGATTTTCCAAAATTCCCAAAGGGACTTTAACATGGGATAAGTAATTTGGGGGATATTTCAAAGCAGTGAAAGTTGTATGTAGACACAAGAACAGACTCTTAGAATTCAGTGGTGGTGATTATTCATAGAAGGCTCAGTAGGTAATCCTGATGGGAAATGTAGGAGCACTGAAAGCAGTGAACATCCCATCAACTTCAGCAGGTTTTCAGCCAAGGCCATGAACCTCAAGATATAGCCAAAAGGAGCAACAGTTTGTTCTCCCCCTCTCCTGTACTTTGCCCAACAGTGTTTTGACTCGTGTCTCCCTTTCTAGGTCTATGGTACCCCTCCCTCTCCTTTCCCCATACCCTCCCATTTTGTTTCTCAACTTGGGACCACTGGCAGCACTTCGGTCCTGGATACAAGTATCATCCAAAAGACACCATCTGAAAAACAAATGTTCTGAGAAATGAACGCTCCGGAAAAAGTTGGTTATAACAGCCTCCCTTATTTGGAAGGACTCTGAGGAAAGCCACTGAGACTCAGGACACAGAGCAGCGCTGGTGCCTCCTGGCTGATGGAACTAGCTATCCTGGCCAGTTGCTCTTCCTTCCTCCAATCTTATTAAACCACTGATCACCCCAGAGTCAGAATCTTTCTTTCACACATGAAAATAGCCAAAAAAACCATGTACTTTGGTTATTTTCTTCCCCAACCAACAGGTCATTCTAACCTCATCTTACCCATCAATATACTCGCCATGTAGAGCATGCAACCCCAAAACAAAAGCTTGCACTACCAGAAAGTCCAAAATTAAGCCACATAAGGAAAGAAATAGCTTGTTTTATAAAAAGGCATATAAAACATTTGAATTCAGCAACCTATTCAAATTCTTACTTTTCTGGCAGTGGTTGGTGGTCCAGCAGCGATAGTTGTACTCATTGTTAATGGATGTCTTCTCACACAATGGTTTCTCTTCCATCGTCCCTGGACACAAGTCCCCACACTCCTTTGGAGGCTTATTCCCAACGATGTAGTTGTTGGACACTGCGTCTAGGATCAGAGACCAGTCCACCGTGGAGAGGTAGCACAGGTCAGAGTTCTTCTCAATCCGAATGGCCCCTCGGGTGATGTTCCTCAGGTTGTGAAGCCCAATTTCTTTGAGGTTTGTCATCTCAAAGATAACCAAGGCATAGTTGTAGAAGAGGTTCCTCCCACGGATGACCGTGAGGTTGGGAAAGAGATCGCTGAGGCTCTCCAAGCCTGCCACACGGAACAGCAGCAAGTAGTCGGTGATCATGGTGAGCTTCGGGAAGCGGAAGTTGCGGTAGTCGTCTGCCTTGGAGATGAGCAGGATCTGCAGGAAACCCTCAACGACCGTGCAGTTCTCAAGACGCCTCAGCTCATGGATATCATTGCGAATGTCAACATTTGGCCCACAAACTGAAAAGACAATGGGATGGGGAAAGAAGGAAGGAAGAAGAGGGAGATTTAGTACATGAGCTTTTTAAACCTTTACAAAAATTTAGAATGAATTCCAAAATGAGCTTGGACTGAATACTTTGACAAAGTTTTAGCTCCTAAATTAAGGTGAAATCTTAAAAACGGAGGATAAGCATAATGAGTACTTCACATTAAATTTACCTTGTTTAACTGATTGTTTACTACTGCATGCAGGAGTGCAATGCTGCAAATATACCCGTCTTACATCAGGGAGGAAACTGATGCCTTATTACTGCTGCTGAAAGCAAGTCTAAATTCAATCAAAAAATGAGACTGAAGCTCTTTGCACAGGGGTTCAAAGGGGGCGCTGTAATTACAGCGCATCAGAGCAGACTCAATTAAATCAGCACAATTAATTAGCATGCTCCAGCAGCATCGGCATCTCATGTATTCAGTGTCCCCACACTTCAAAATGGCAGCGGGGGTGCTTTAACTCAAGCTCAAACAAGCTTTAAAGTGCTCCCGCTGCCATTTTGAAGTGCGGGATGCTGAATAGATGAGATGCTGCAGGCACTTTAACTTAGATTGACTCCTGGAAGCTGCTCTAAATTAAAGCCCCTCCCCCACTCCGACCACACGTAAAGACGCCCAAAGGCTCCGCGCTATAACTTAGACAGGACTTTTTTTATGCACTGACTGATACGGGCCTCAATCACATGATTCCCAAAGGGTTTAACAAAAGTATGACACCTAAATATAAAATGTTAACCTTCAAGATATTAACTTAAAGACAAAAAAGCAATGGAGGACAGAGACTATCCAACTCCATACTTTTAACTCCCCAAATCGCACTACTTCCCCATGCTCTCAAGCCATGCTTTGGCCCAATACCAGAATAAACACTTACAACAGATTAACAATACAAAAATGCAAAATACTCAGGATTTCCTCTCCTGAAAGCAAAAGGAAATGAAAATATTCAGGCTCATCATTGACATATGGAGATCCTGTTTGCATCTACTCCAGTGAAGTAAGTTTCACTAATTTTGGCATCAACGTGTAGTTCCTGAAATTCTAAGAAATGCAACATAAACAGACTTATTTACAGTCACAAGCAGGATTTTCCCTTGAAAACACTAGGCTGAACTCCATGCACTCTTCCTACATCAACTGTCAGCAGAATGAGAAAAATCCACTATATGGAGGGGAGAGGAGAGGGAAAAACATCTTTGCAACCAACATAAATTTGCCAGAATTTCCACCAAGAGATAGAAAGCATCAGCAAAGAAGCCTGACATTTTTTTTAAGCTGATTTAAGTCAATGCCACCATAAGCTTTCAAAAAGACTGGAACATACATCTCTGAAAGATTCTATTAACTAGTGTAACAACTGACTACATAAGCAATGATGTATAAGTGTAAAACGATGCGCACATGGCCCTCTCTGAAACACCACAGCACCAAGCCAAAGTGCAAGGATATTCTTTCGGGCTATTCTATTCTTTCAGGATATCACGACAAAGTTAGCCTTTTATGGGAACCACGGAAAAGGATGCCCCAAGCAGAGGGCAGGACATAAAGCAATGGGTTTAAACTGCAGGAAGGCAGATTTAACATTAAATATGAGGAAAATTTTCTGACTGTTAAAACAGCAGGACAGTGGAAGTGCCCAGGGAAGTAATGCAATCTCTTTCACTCAAGGGTTTCAAAAAGAGGCTGGATAAGTATCGCTCTGTAACGGCTGAAGACAGAGGATGCTTCATTCATGTAGGGGGCTGGATCAGATGATCCTTGAGGTCCCTTACAATTACGACTACAATTCCCCAAAGACTCTGGGTCATAATTTACAGGGGACCTTTTCATTCACCAACTGGCAGGGGTCCCATGATTCCCAAAGACTCAAATGAACGTGGCAATTTAAGAGGGTGTTTCAGAAAGTAAAAGTCAACTTCCAAATAAGACCATGCTGTGTGTAATGATCCTTTACTGGACCACATCACTTTTCTACATCATTGTAAACAACGGGTGCATTAAACAATGGCACCCTCAGTGTTCCCCGCTGCTGTGTGGTTTCCCCACTCACTACACACAAAATGGTTTTATTTCAAAACTGATATTACTTTCTGAAACACCCTTGTAAATAAGGAGCTAAAGTAAAATGACAGTTATATCAGTAACACGCACTGGGATCCAGCCTGGCGGACAGGTTATTCTTATGTTATACATATTACACTTCATTACTTTCATGCTATCCTCTTCTCTTCAAGCAGCTAGCTCTAAACACAACTAGTGAAGAACTCCCAGCTAAATTGTCCAAAGGTTCATAAATTATTTTAGCAATAGAAAGACATCCCGTCTGTCCCACAACACTGGATTAAGATGGTCACAAAAGGCTAACAAAGGAGTTGGACTATGAACATGCTAAAACCATAGCAATCTTAATATCCAGCAAGGACTCAAAAGGTAACATCCCAAGAAACAAGCCACAGTTAATCTACGTATCATGGACAATATAAAAAATAGCAAACTTTGTGGGGATCTCTTTTGGGGATGCAGGAAAATAGCAAAACAGCCTACTTCTATCACTGGAGTTTTTGATGAAACGTAAGGTTGGAAGCAGTCTCCAGGGTCTAGTCTCCCTTTCTGCACAGATGCAGGATTCATCTTAAACTACCAGAGAAAGATGCCTATCCAATTTCTTCTTGAAAAAACCTTAAATAAAAAGGATTCCACAACTTCAGTGCAGCTTCTTCCAGTGTCCTTCCACTTCTATGGCTAGGAAGATTTTTCCTGAAATTTGATCCCTCACTCCTCATGTGTAGTTTATATCCATTGCCTTATTGTCCTGCCCACTGTGACAAGGAAGAACAATTTCTCTCACTCTTCTTTATGATAGGATTTCAACTGTTTGAAAACTGCAATCCTCTCTCCCCCTTCATCCCCTTTTCCCCCAAACTACACATCTCCCTAGTCCCCTCAGCTGTTCCTCATGGGGCTTTGCATTCCAACCTCTCTTGTTTTAGGCATGTAATGGAGGAGAGGGTTTTAAAATCAAGTACCAGTTTCAAGGCATAGGGTAAACTTACATGTTACACTTATGCCATGCTAAGGGCACTTAAAACATAAGCACTGGCATATTAAAGCTTGTCAACTCATGCTAAATGCCCTCTGAGCACCTGAAAAGTTACACCGCTTCAGGTTTAACTTCAGGTTAACCCTGGGCTCTGCTACCCAGCTCATGCTAGGGTAACTTCAGGCTGTTCCAGAGAGATAAAGTGAACAATTTGCAGTCCTTCATCATCACAGGATGCACCGCTCTCCACACCCTCTCCACCACCCAAAGGAGGATAGAGTCCACAACTAGCTCACTCCTAGCCACACCTCTGCTTGCCAGCCCTGTAGTAGCAAGTCAGAGCGGTGCAGGTAAGAAACAGTATGAACCCTCAACACGCAACCGCTCATAGCACAGTCTAAGTTTAACACTACTTAACATTTCACAGATTTAGTATGGTCTACTTAACATGCAACTTTGTCCATACATTAACAAGAAAATCTTTCCAGAAGCCAGTTAAAATAATATAGTAAAGCAAGAAGGCACACCTGGTCTTCTAAAACAACTGCATGGAAACGGTGTCTCCAGTGTTACCACAACCTGATTTAGGCAACCGGACAATCATCCTTAGAATAAGTACTATGGCACTAACCAATGAAAGATAAAGGCAAAGAGGAGCAAACATTAATAAGACTGGCATTGCCTGCTTTCAGCAGCCAAAGAAGGGGGGAGCGAAAGAAATCGAAGCCAGGAAAAGTGATACGTCACACAGAGGCAGAAATACTACTCCACTGAGTAGCATCCCAAGATTATAGGGGAAAGCCCTAACCACCCCAACAGACATTCTTTTCATAATCAGATTCTCAATCCGTGGTCTTACCAACCAACTGCTGAAGTTTCCTTTTAAGGAAAACCCAAAAGAGACAAGAAACATCTCACCCAAAAAAGAGCCTATCTGACAAAAATGGGAACAATGTTGTAATGCCCAGATAGCTGCTCCTCCTACGGAAAGAAAAGCAAAGTACAAAACGATACGTGTTTCCTATTAAATTGATTTAGTTTTTTGTCTCCCTACTGGTACAAAAACACCACAAGTACTGGTATACTACAGCAAAAGGAGCAGAGTATATTTAATATGACAGAATTTTAGAAAGCTCAACTGCTCCAAGCCCCTTATTTTGTTAAAGAAATAAAATTTGCACTTGCACTGACATTTTGTAAGCCTGGCTCCAGAGTGATGGGTTTAAAGACCAGCTGAGTTATAATACCCTGAAGAACAATTTGTAAGAGAAATGGCAGCAAACCTTCATGAAAGCAGTACAGAGCTGTACATGGGTCTGTTCCGACACTAGGGTTTAGGAATCATTTTGGTTTTAGTTTTATGTTCATCTCAGCTTGGAAGTTACTTTATTTTAGATATTTAGTGCTTTTATAAATGAACAGGAGATCAGAACTTTATGGAAAAATATAAGCTTGCCTCAATTATAAAACATCATCCCTTTAATATGGAAAAAGATTGAATCCAATGTGTTCTAATGTTAAAAATTGCTTACAGATGAGTGTGCTGCTGACATTCTTGATTTAAGAACTGGCCTATTAGTATGCTATCTATTATGTCTGTTTAGTTCTACATAACGTAACTTAATGAGAACTGCAGAGGACTGGACATGAAATAGGGCAGGCCCCTTCATTCATATTGACATTTGGAAAGTTCCACCTCTGCTAGATAAAGGCAAAAAAAATACCATTCATCCCCTTAAGCTGGACAAAACCCATCTTTAAGTTTCGCCAATGTTCTGTCTTGCTCCCTCGTTTCTTTTGAAAAGTTCACAGTGTCCATGAAACTTAATTACACCACAACACATCATCTCTTTTGCTCATTTTTGTCTGCTGCCCTGAAAGGGATTTGATGAAAAACAAATTAAATCAGAGTTGAAAGCCTACTACAATTTCAAGTTCGGCCATCCCAAGTTTTCTTTGGATCACATTTTAGGGAACATGTACATGGATTCAAAATATCAATCGGTATCTCAGGCAGACACACACCAAAGCCCTTTGCAAAGTATACTGAAGTACATAATGCACTTTCTTTGTTGGCTCACTCATATACATTTCTCATTTACCTAGAATGACTCACATATGCTTCATGGCTAGTACAGTTAAAGCATTTCCTCCAATTTAGAATTAAACAATGTTTTTGGGTTTACCTACTGCCTGCTGGGCATCACATGTTAATACTGCTCCTTTCAATCAGGCCCTTTGGGACTCATTACAATCAATAAAGTAACTGATAAGGCGACACTCGTGTGATACATTAAAATTTCACTTCATTTGATTTTCCAAACCTTTCTCCTTTGTGGCCACAACTTCCCAACCTTCTTTTCAGCCCTGAGACCAAAGTATAATTAACTCAAGACAATTACGATTGGGAAAAACAACTGCAGAGCAGCACGGCATTTGCCATATCTCTGAGTCTTCAGATCAAGGTCAGATATCTTTCTAGATAATGTGTGTTAATCAAATAGGTTGTTCGGTTAAACCAGGAATAACGGAACGAAATGTAATTCTCTGCAATGAAGAAAGTCAGAACAGGTGATCTGCTGGGTCCTGAACTACCAGGAAATTTGATAAAATGTATCTGCTCATTTTATGCACTAGTTCAAGCATGTAAAATTAAAAATAGCAGGCTTCAGTCAGCTACATTTATGACTTCTGGACAAAGGGGGAAAGAAATCAAGAAACATTCTCTCCTTATGTATAAAGTCTCCAAAACTTTCTGTAGTCTTTGAACCTTAGCATGTCAAGCAACCTAATCACATTTTCCAGTGCAGTTACATTTTTTAGGAAATACTAATAGGCAAATTACCCAAAAGAAAAAAAAAATCCTGTCTTTCTTCATTAAACACGTATTCTGCCCTATCCAAAGGAGGTTTGTTCCCAATATCAGTTTGATTAAATATATTAGCAGAGTTCCTTACTCCTTGCTGACTATGGATTATGGGAATTTTGAGTGGCTCCTAGAGCTCCTAAACCCTGGGCTGTCTGCATATTAACACCTTAAAATGGTATGCACTCATTACTGGGTTTGAAGTTATACCACTGCAGGGCAGGATTATCTCTAATCTGCACTACCAGCTCCTGTTCCATTAAAGTACAGCCACTCCTCACAGATGTGCCGCTCAAACTGAAGTCCTCCAGTATCCCAGGATCCCTCACACCCCTGCCCATAGAGCAGGGATAGAAGCCTGTCCTGGCTCACCAGGCCTCTAGTGGCAACTCACAGCTGTGCAGGTGGGGGACAGTCAGAGAAGGTTTTCTAGACTAAAGGTGCAACAGCTCCAAATTCCAAACTAGTACTAACGCCGATCAACGTTTGTGCGCCTCACAGAATAAAGTGTAACAAGGCTCTATTTCATGCAGTAAATTCTTAATCCTATTACACATCATCTCTTGCCTTTTACAAAAGAAATTTTGAACTCCCTCATACACGCCTACCATGTATTTAAATCACTTCATTGACTATGGGTTTAATAGTTTTACCCAGTGATGGAGGAAAGTAAATTATAAGATGACTATGACAAAAGGGGTCCTTCTCCATGCAAATAACCGCCTACTTGGGACCAATAAGTATGAAAACATGTACATGGTTTTTACATGAGAAGAAGGCGTTTCCCCAAAAGAAACCTGGAATCAGTTCACTGCTGTCAGTTTTACTTTCCAGTTCTATGTTCCTTCCAGTTACTCCCTTTAGAAAGTTTTACAGGAACAAAGTGTTTTTCAAAGGAACAACTCATCTCATTTTAAATTTCTTCTCACTGGCTTCTCTCTCTCCCTTCTCAACATATTGTGTACAAGAAAAAAAGTTGTAGAATAAAACAGTAGTTGTATTCCCAAAGATATTCATGATTTTCACACCTTTAAGAGGTATCCCTATGCTGTTCCCGTCACACACTGGCCACTTCCAGGCAAGCACAGCCATGAAGTATGGGGCACAGCAGACATGTCTGCGGCTCCAAGTACCACACATCCAGAAATTCTCCGTTCTGCAAGACAGCAGCGTGGGCAGGGGAGGGGGGTTTTGACCCCAGGAGATCCCGGGGTCAAAAAAAAACAACATGCAAAAAAGCTGCACACATAGGGTCAGCAAACCTAGCTGCAAAAAAGCTGCACACATAGGGTCACCCAGAGCCAGGGCCTGACCGTCCAAAGCCACACTCTGGCTGCCGGCCAGGCTTCAAGTGGCAGAACTGGCGCTGCTGCAGCCCCAGGAGACCCCCAGGGCCCCGGGGTAAGGCTGCTGGGGGCAGCCCACTGCTGGCCCCAGCCTCTCCTACTCCATCCAGGGTAACCCGCTGCGCAACAAAGGGCACGTGGCACAGGCGTTCCCCAGGTCCAAGTAGCAGCAGCACAAGGTATGCCGCTGCCAGCTGTCCCCAGAGAACCGAACATCCACACTCATGTGGACACGACCACTAACGACAAAGATGTGAGGCAGCCACTCCATGCAGACCAGGCCACTCAGTACAACAATCCCTGAACAAGGCTGAAGCCTACCTGAGCCTTACAGGCTCCCATGAGGAAGAAGCCCTCTCATAATACATCAGGACCACACATGAAATTCTGTTCCAAAACAGAAGTGACCAACACAGGCAGTGCTCTTATTCAACCCAAAAAGCTAAGCAGTAATCTGGAAATCAGACCCTATTTCATTTGCACCATCACTTCAGATGTATTTTTAAGGAACTGTTTTATCAGCAACTGAGAGAGTGCTGGATCCCGAGTGGAGAAACACTCCCAAGCAAAACGCCTAAGAATCAAAATGCCTGGTTCTTAGAGAGCGCTTCCCAGCAGAACTCAAAAGGTACTCACATTCCCCACGGATGGAGAAGGGAAAAGAAGCCTGTATCCTGAGGGGGTTTGGAAGCTTCACCAAAAAAAAGGCATGAGGCCACCCAATCCATACCCACACCAATACCTACCATGTGCTGGCAGCAAACAGTAGTTAGCATCTTGCTAGACTATTTGGACACAGTTAAATGTAATCCTGACCATTTTCCCCAACAAGTGTTCAGAGGAGCAGAGAGAGAGAGAAAAAAGAAAGATTTGGCCAAAAAGACAGCCAAGCGAAGTGAAGCAACCTGCCCACGACAAACAGCCAGCAACAGGGAAAGTCTCAAATAGTGGTCTTTTCTGAGCGCTCTGTCATCAGATAAATGAAGATGGTCTTTCTAGGCAGATATTGCTAATTCCCTGTCAACTAACAGTTGGTCCAACAAAATGTGATGAAGGCAAAACTGCTCTCCTCTCCACCCAAACTGCACTAATGAAGATGACTAGGCATCATCCTACAGCAATGCCAACTTTGAGCCATGTGTCTGTCTAGGAGATTAGCATATTTTCTAAACAGTGTTTTGTTATTTATTCCCTAAAGAGCCACTTACTTCATCACATGCCTTTAGCTTTAAGCCGTGGCAGGTTCTTATTAAAAAACAAATTGGTCCAGAGCAGCTACAGAACGTGGCTGTTGTCCAGCAGCACCTGCCTCAAAGATCTGCAGCGTCCTAAGTCAGTTATCTCCAGAGCTCCCATTTCTCTTTCCCAAGGGAGACAGATATGCGCACCTTATATGATGGATCTGGAGCAGCATATCATCCACTGGCCCAATTATTGCTATGTCTGTTCTATGGCTACGTTACGGGAATGCAATAATACAAAGCCATCTAGAGCACAGGCAGGCAAGACTGGAGTGGTTCAAGACAGACACCCTTCAAACACTTTTGAGTTGTAAAGGGACAGTGTCAGAAATAATAACTGATCATTTCTACCTCAGTTCCTAGTGAACCTACTAAACTGGTCTGGACCAGAATACGGAAAGGCCCACAAAAAGCAGACGAATGAAAACTGGAGGACTCTGGCTGGGTTAAGAAGGAAGGGGTGCAGTAGTTATTCAGAGGTGCAGTCAGCATCATGTCCCTACCAGTGCTGTTTCAAGTTCAGGCTGCCATCAAAGGATAGAAAAACTTTGCATAAAGCAGTGACTCTCAACTAGGGGCTCCAGGCATCCTAGGATGCCACAAGATCCTTTGATGGGTGCCACAGGAAAGGTGAAGAGATAAGAAGATTAAGGGCAGGCTCATGCTCTCCCTGCCTGGTCACTCCCCAGCCCCACTGCCTGGCCCCTGTGCAAGGTGGTAAGTTTTAAGCACTGTAATAAATCTGTTTTTGAAAAGGGATGCTGCTCAGATTACAAACTGGAGACTCACTTGTCCCCGACCAAGGGGAAAATCTGCAATGGGGCAGAGGAGAGAATACAGGTGTCAAGGCCTAAGCTTGTACCCTGACCACAGTTCTGGGACCATCCTTTCCTTGCCTGCATGCCTAGCAGTTCTTCAGATTTGTAAGATTTTCTGGTTGTATTACTAACAACTCAGGCAAAAAGAAGAAAAATAGCCTCTTGGTCTGGAAAAAATGAATCACTCTCGCTTTTGTTAAGTACATTTTCTACTTAATTTCAACTTCAGGATCTCTGGCACAGCCACAACGCTACCATGTTTGGCTTGCAAATGCCGAAGGGAAAATTTAAATCCAAACAAAAACCTGTTTGCATTTGAATTTAAGTCTTGAAAATATTCCTGTTTATATCTGGGAACCTGCTGTATTTAACAAGCCCAATTCTGGGACAAAGCTAACTAAACAACTGCAATCTTACAAATGAGGAGAGAATAAAAGATTTTTCTGCAGTTTAACATTTTATAGCTAGAAAATATGGCTTGACATTTCTTGTCTACTTTATTCCATGTACTGTTCCCAGGTCTTCTCCCTCTGCTAGCAGGGCAAGAAAGTGTAAAAGAGCATCCATAGCTAAAGAGGAAAGCGTTCCCCTCATCTTCATACACTTCACAGGTTTTCATATTGTCTGTACAACCTTTAGCCAAACCCTTATTTTGCTTTAATCTTTTTTTTCTCTCACGGCCACTCTATATGCTTCCTGTATTAAGTCCGGCTGTCACAGAGAATGTCCAACATAGAAGAAATAGACTATCACACTACTCTGGCCCACACTGCAAGGATTTAGCACGTGTGCTTCAAACCCAGTTTGGCTTTTTCACTATTATCAAGTGCAAATACAACATGCTGTCTATAAATTTCAAGCTCTCTCTTGGCTCTGCTGGCTTCTATAGCTATTCAACTCCCCACTGTCATTTTACCTTTTCTACATTGATTCTCCTATTTTCTTTAGTCCCCCATGTTCACTTGTTGGTATTTAATTCTCTGCTAACAGGGTAGTCCCAAGGAACTGAGATGTATTGGTACCTAAACCCATGACTGTCTAGACAGGAATTGATCCAGTTCAGTGAGTAAAGCCCAGGCTAACAAGGGGCATGCCTCTGCTACAGATTTAGCCTGAATGACAGAGAGTTGGGCTGGCCTAGCCAGCAAGTGAGTAAGCACACACCCTACAAAGCCCTATCTGACTTAGGACCTTCACTGCTGTTGCAGCTATCTATGCCCATCACTAGAACCTTTGAGACCATATCCTGTGGTTCTCCAGGCTGCAGTGGGCTAAACAACTATTTCCTTCCCAGCAGATTGAGAGAACATGTCTGCCTGCAGGACAAATAGAGGGGACTCTAGGAATGTACTGGAGCAACGTCACTCCAGTGGATCAGCCCGTGTTCTCACTGCAAAGCGAGTGAAAGCAATATGCAGTCTTTTACCTGTTGGTTACCTACCCTGGGTTAAAAGCACCAATGTCTGGTTAAAAAGTTGTTTGTGCAATTAAGAGCAACAGGTAAAGTAGATCCTAGCAAAACTCTGCCATGAATAGAGTCAACACTAAGCCAGCTCATAAAAGAGCTGCAGAATCTAAAACAAACAAAACAAATTCTGTGCAAGAAAGTGAGTAAGAGCTTGGCTCCTCAGGGCACATTAATGCTTTTTGCAGGAAAGAAGGCAAAAAAATGTAAAGCCTTTGGGCTGCTCCTTACCCTGTCTGACAGCACCAAAAAGAAAAATAGGAGAGTGCCACTCTATGGAAGACGCAAAGCACTAGCGAGTAGGTGGCATATTATGATCAATACATACAAGAGCATTTTTTTTTTAACTGTGATAATCGTGTTTGAGTTGTATGCCAGTAGTTACAGCCTAATGCCTGCTCAAGCAAAAATGTAAGACTGAAAATTACAAGCTGTTTATAACAGAGAATTTATGTTTTACAATCTGTGATGACAATAGAGCTTAACAGAAATTGTCTCTCTGGGGGACCATTCTTCTCCACCTTTTAAAAAAGGTTGTGTGTATGGGGGTTTTTTTTATTTTTTTTTAACAGTTGTCTACACATCCAAGTGACTCAGCAACTGGCTGACAGTAACCTATGGGATGTACAATTAGGTTGCAGTAGGCAGCCAAATCTTGCAGAATGAAAATCATCATGTGGCTGGGCTCAGTAACCCACATTTATGAAGACTTTATTATGCTTTTAGCTGCCTGCTGAGCTGCCATCCTGTACTAATCTAGGAAACCCGCCCTCCCTGAATGTTCTTTAAACCTAGACCTGTCAACCAGGCCAGACCATTTTGACTTCATTAAAAGAAAACTTCCAGCAGGCTACTGTAATATACAACTAAATTGATCTTTTAATGGTCATAAACAGGTCTTAGTAAAAAATCAATTGGAGCTATATTTAGATCCCCAGTAATCCACAGACAATTTAGAGCCCAAATCTGATTGTTCCTAATCATACCAATGACTTGACCACTAACCTTAGCTGTATCTCTTCTTGCCTGAGGAAACACACGGGTTGACCATCTGAACTAAAACTTGCACTGAACAATTTCCACAAGGCTAAAGATCTTAACAACTATCTGACTACACAGGAAAGGACATTTTTTCAGATTCACAGCTTACCAGGACTCAGAAGCCCCTTTATAGCAACTGTGCATTCACCATAGTCCCCAGGTTGGGGACTACTGGATTTAACAAATTTAAAATTTGTCACCAGAGTAGGTCATGTGGGCACAAGTGAAAAAATGCTTCAAATTAAAAAGGTATTAAATTGTGTCCCCAAAAGTGTTAAGGCAGCTTTCAAG